GGCTTTTCCTGCTTCTGCGGACGGCCCCTCAGCCATGGCCCCCAGGAGCCCCCGAGAACCCGCAGGGACTGCCCCCCATCCTGGCCGCCGGGGCCCGCCCTCTGCATCCCCTGGGCTGCGGGTGTGAAGCGGCCTCCCGCAGCCCCGGCCCCTCCCCCATGGAGGAGGCGGAGGGGGGCGCGGCGGCCACGGAGTGGGGCACCTCCCCCGCGGGGCCAGTCTGGACCGCTGTGTTCGACTACGAGGCGGCCGGCGAAGAGGAGCTGACCCTGCGGCGGGGCGACCGCATCCAGGTGCTTTCCCAGGACTGTGCGGTGTCGGGCGACGAGGGCTGGTGGACCGGGCAGCTACCCGGCGGCCGTGTGGGCGTCTTCCCCAGCAACTACGTGGCCCCCACCACGCCCCCCGCACCTGCCGCACCCGCGGGCCTCCAGTTGCCCCAGGAGATCCCCTTCCACGAGCTGCAGCTAGAGGAGATCATCGGTGTAGGGGGCTTTGGCAAGGTCTATCGGGCCCTGTGGCGTGGCGAGGAGGTGGCCGTCAAGGCTGCCCGGCTGGACCCTGAGCGGGACCCGGCAGTGACAGCAGAGCAGGTGCGCCAAGAGGCCCGGCTCTTCGGAGCCCTTCAGCACCCCAACATCATTGCCCTCAGGGGCGCGTGCCTCAGCCCCCCACACCTCTGCCTGGTGATGGAGTATGCCAGAGGAGGCGCACTGAGCAGGGTGCTTGCCGGTCGCCGGGTGCCCCCTCATGTGCTGGTCAACTGGGCTGTGCAGGTGGCCCGGGGCATGAATTACCTACACAATGATGCCCCTGTGCCCATCATCCACCGGGACCTCAAGTCCATCAACAGTAAGTGGTGTCCTCCCCCAAAACTTGCTTCCACAGAACTTTAGGAAGCCAAGCCTAGGTAGCAGGAAATGAGGATACCAGGAAACACTGCCTGGGGCAAGAAGGGGCGGCAGTAAACCTTCAGGGCCAGGGAGGCGGGCCTTGCCCCATGAAGGGAGGAAAGGGTGAAGCACTACCTGCCTCTGAAGGCTACAGAGTCGCAGCAGCTCAGTAAATGTGTATCTATGAACACTGTGACGACCCTGCATTCCCAGTGTGAACAGGGCAATATGGCTTGTGGCTTGGCACCCTCACTTCTGCCTCACTCTACTGGCCCAAGCAAGTCATATGGCCAACCTAGAGGAAAGGATGGGGAAATGCACTTCGCCTCCTTAGTGGAAACACCTGCGAAGTCACTTGACAAAGAGTATGACATAGAGAGGAGTAGAATTGGGGCCCATGAGTGCAGTGACCACAGGGATGACAAAGACAAAGGAAACCATGTTCATCTCTTCTGGGGAGGTTGGGAATTCAAGGCTTGGACCAAAGAGGACCAAGGCTTTGGCCATCAACATTTCACTGAGCTCCCCAGAGTCTAGGTTGGAGTCAGGAGGGCAGGGGTTAGACTGGCCACTTGAGGTGGGTAGAAGATGAGATTTCAGCTGAGGCAGGGCCCAGACATGTGATCTACAGCCCACCAGGTCTGGGGTGACCACCTTTTTCCTACTCCACAGTTCTTATTCTGGAGGCCATTGAGAACCACAACCTCGCGGACACGGTGCTCAAGATCACGGACTTTGGCCTCGCCCGCGAGTGGCACAAGACCACCAAAATGAGCGCCGCGGGGACTTACGCCTGGATGGCCCCCGAGGTTATTCGTCTCTCCCTCTTCTCCAAAAGCAGTGACGTCTGGAGGTGCTGATGGGGCTGGGGAGGCCTCCTGGAAATGGGGGAGTGAGGAGGGGTGAGGGCAGAGTGGGAGGGACAGTCTCCCACTGAAGCCAGGATCTGGGCCTGGCAAAGGGGCGACATCAGATCACCAGACAGATACCAAAGTAGGTCTCTGCTAGCAAAAGTGGCAGCTGAGGATGACTTGGATGGCAATAAAAAACAAATATCCAAAGGTGTAGAAATAGGATGTTGTCAGCACTAAAGGCCCTTCAGACAGCATCAGGTACACAGCCCCCACTTGTCAAACAGGAAGTTGAAGCCTTTGGAGATAACCATTCACTCATTTATTCATTCATCCATCCATCCATCCATCCAACTGTGCTGGGTGCTAGGGATACAGCAGGAAATAAAAATAGACACATTCCCTGCTCACAGAAGTAGTAAATAAATAAGTACACAAGAAGCTGGAAAAAAACTTTTTAAGTTAAGAAAATTGTAAAATAATATTAAAAGATAAGTTAATTCACCAGAAAAAGTATTAGATAGAGTTACGAGCCAGGAGGTTGATGGCAAAACGTTCTGAGGGCTGGAGGACGTCTTGCAGAGGCTTTTCTGAGAAGTGATGCTTGAGCTGCATTCTGGATGACGAGACAAGGCCAGCTATGCAGAGTTTGGGGGAAGAAGCTTCCCAGGCAGAGGGAACAGCTCGCACAAAGGAGGTACTGAGGTGAGAACAAGATTGGTATGTTCCAGAAAACAGCTCCGAGGGCCTGTGTGGTTGGCTGGAGCAGACAAGGAGGAAAGTGGTAGGAAATGACGTAGGAGAGAGAGCTGGAGGGCCCCTCGGATGAGGCACTGGACTCCAGTTTTATTCTAAGCGCAATGGAAAGCATTAGAGGTGGTGATGAGTGACGCGATCTGATTCAGCATTGGAAAGGCTCCCTCCGCCTGTAGGGTGGAGAATGGATTGTAGGGGAAGGAGTGGGGGCGGCAGGCCAGTGAGGAGGCTGTTGCCATCACCAGCAAGGCTTTGTGGTGGCAGCAAACTCTTCAAACCAAGGCCTCCTGCTGGGAGAAAGCCGAACCCAGGTCAGTACCCCTCTGAGGCTCCAGACGGACCAAGCAGCAAAGTCATGGTTTTTGGGCAGACAGATCAGACAGGACATCTCAACTGGACCAGCATAGCCTTTGGGGGAAGTCCTGACCGGCTGCACATCAGGCATTCATTTGTGGCCCCAGACATTTAGTGGAGCCATATTTCGGTGCCAAGGAGCAGAAACCCCAAAATAAAAACAAGACTAGAGTTTTTGCTGTCATGTGAAGCCGGGGCTGATGTGGTGCCCCCAGTGTTAGAGATTCAAGGTCCAATGTCAGGGTTCCTTAACAGGGCTGTCATTGACATCAGGCAGGATAATTCTTGCTTGTGTGATACTGTCCTTTTCAGGACAGAAGTATCCATGGTTCCCAGCCACCAAACATCAGTAGCACTCCCCATTGTGACAATCAAAACATCCCCATAGGTTTCCAGGGACATAAGAGAGATGGGGGAGTCATGCCACCTCTAATTACAAGCCACTCTTATTTTTTTCCACCCTTGTATGGCCTCCATTCCCAAGTTCACTTCATGGTCCAGAATGGCTGCTTGAGCATCAGCTTTTATGTCCACATTCCAACCAGTAGAAAGGAGAAAAGATGAAAGAACACTCCTTCCTGGAAGTTAGTTGCACACTGCACACCCCGCTACATCCCACTGGCCAGAACCATTGTCATGGGGCATAATGAGCTGCAGAGGGGGATGGAAAATTATTTCAGGCAGCATATGCCCGGCACAAATCACCGGTGCTGTCACTGAAACAGAAGGGGAGGTGTCAGCTGCATGAGGGCAGGGGTTGCATCTTGTTTCAGTGCCTAGAACAGGGGATATTTAATAGGTATATGTTGAATGAATGCATTTGTGGATATGGGGGAGCATGGGGATCTACTACACGGGAGGCATTGCACAAAACAGCGTCAAGATCCAGAAGGAGTGCGGCTTACTGCAGAAGGTGGGCACACAGATGGTTGTAGCACAGTGATGCACAGGCTGGTGTGTGTAGCCGTTAAGGACATTGTCGTGGGCATCGGGCAGACCTAAGTTCAAGTGTGGCACCACTGCTTACTAGCTGTGTGACTATAGGCAAGCAGCTTAACCTTTCTGAGCCTATATCTGTTCATCAGATAAAATAGGGATCATACCAAGACCTGCCTTCCAGGGCTGTTGTGAGGATTACTGAGAGTGCCTAGCATAGTGCTAGCATAAGAAAGTGCTTTATAAATGGCAAATAGTGTTAACTTGTCTTTAGAGGTAAGTGCCAAAGTTTCTATGGGAACATAGAGAAGGGACCTCTAACCCAGCTTTGGAGGCTATGGAATCAAGGAAGGCTTCCTGGCAGAGGGAGCACCTGAGTTGAGACTTAAGGGATGGTTACACAAAGGGAAAAGTGTTCTCAACAAGGGAACAGCATGTGTAAAGGCCAGATGTTAGGAAGAACAGGGCTTGTTCAACTCCAGTGTGGCTGCAAGATGAAGCTGAGGTTAGTACGGGGGCTGAGAGTGCTTAGAGGTGAGGCTGTGGGGTCATCAAAGGTCAGGGCTAAAAAGGGTGGATTTGCCCAGTGGGCACAGGGAACTTTCCCCACTAAAGGTTTTCAGGCAGGGGCAAGGGAAGAGAGAGCAAAAGCAAGACATCAGAGAGCAACCCCACCACATCTATTTGAGGTCAGGGCAATGGAGGTCAAATTACGTTCTTGTGGCCTCTTTGACCAGGCTGGATATTGGCATGAGGGAGGCGCACCAGGGGATTGGAGGCAGGGTGGGGTATGGGAGAGGATTGGGGTGGACTGTAGCATCACCCCTTCCTCTCCCCCCACTGCAGCTTCGGGGTGCTGCTCTGGGAGCTGTTGACGGGTGAGGTCCCCTACCGTGAAATCGACGCCTTGGCTGTGGCATATGGCGTGGCTATGAACAAGCTGACGCTGCCCATCCCCTCCACGTGCCCCGAGCCCTTTGCCCGCCTACTGGAGGGTGAGCCAGGGCCCTGTGGAGAGGGAATGCTCAGCTTGGGTGGCAGGGGCCCATGGGTCCAGACCTTGCCCCTTCACACCCATCCATACCAGTGGGCCCAGGAGTGAGGGAGAAAGGGCTGGACCCATCGGACTATGACTCCCCCACAGTTGGCTCCAAGGCCCCCAGACCCTTACTCTGGCCAGGCCCACAGCTCTTGAGGGCAACCTGTTAGGATTCATTGGTCCTAGGATTCCTCCCTGATCCCTGATTCTGCCACTAGAGAGCAGGTCCCTGGGTTTCTGTTGCAGTTTCACCGAGTGAAATATTGCCAGGAATTGGGGTTGGAATTCCTTCCCCCCAGCTCCATGGAAGCTGTTTGTCTCAGCCCCTTGAAGTCCTGCCTTTCACTGAGCAGGCTGATGCCCCAGAGCATGACCACTGATATCTCCACTCCCACCCCAGAGTGCTGGGACCCGGACCCCCACGGGCGGCCGGATTTTGGCAGCATCTTGAAGCAGCTTGAAGTCATAGAACAATCAGCCCTATTCCAGATGCCGCTGGAGTCCTTCCACTCACTGCAGGAAGACTGGAAGCTGGAGATTCAGCACATGTTTGATGATCTCCGCACCAAGGAGAAGGTGAAGGCAAGGGACAAGTGGGAGGGGTGAAGCAGGATCTCTGAGTTCTGATGCCATGGGTGGGGCAGAGTCCCTTCCCCGAGCCAAGGCCCAGGAACTTTTTTGCCTGTTAATAGACAGCCTCCTGTTGGTGGATTAATAAGAAAAAGGCACCCTGCACTGAAGTACTTACAAGTGATACTGCATAATGTCTGGGGTTTTAAATACTACAGCAAAATGAGAGGGAGAGAGGAGAGAAGGAAGGGAAAGATTTGCAAAGTACAGACAATTGTTGGATGATGGGTACATGTTTTTGTGGATATTTGAAGTTTTCCACATTGAAGAGTTAGAAAATTAAAAATCAAAGGGGGGGAGGAAAAGGCATTCTTTCTTTGGGCTAATGTAGCCCCCTGCCCTGGCACCTGGCTTGGTTAGCAAGTGAGTTGGATTGTGCCTTCAATTTGCCTCACAGCAGGACACTCCTGGGCAGGGCCCCAGCCAGACCCAGCAGCTCTGGGTCCTTCCCAGGGGCAGAATAGCTAAGTCCTTCTCAGCAGCCACCCATCTCCTCTCCAGGAGCTCCGGAGCCGTGAGGAGGAGCTGCTGCGGGCAGCTCAGGAGCAGCGCTTCCAGGAGGAGCAGCTGCGGCGGCGGGAGCAGGAGCTGGCAGAGCGCGAGATGGACATCGTGGAGCGGGAGCTGCACCTGCTAATGTGCCAGCTGAGCCAGGAGAAGCCCCGGGTCCGCAAACGCAAGGGCAACTTCAAGCGCAGCCGCCTGCTCAGGCTGCGGGAAGGCAGCAGCCACATCAGCCTGCCCTCTGGTACCTTGAGCGTCCCCCCAACAGGCCACTGGGCACATTCCTGACCCAGGGTTTATTGCTTCCTTTTTTTTTTAAATTTTTTTTTAACGCTAAATATATCACACAAAAAACCACCAAGAGACTGTACAGCTTAATGCATTAGTATAATCACCCCCATGAAAGCAGAGAACCTACAGCCACCCAGGTGCCCTCCATGTGCCCCTCCAACAACCGACAGCCCCCTGCAAGTAACCCCTGTGTTGACTTTCAGAGCAGTCACTTCCTTACTTAATAGTTTTGTCTCCCAGCTGTTTGTGTAGTATCTTTTATTCTGCCTCTGTTTTCTCCTTGCCAATAATTTGTTGAGGACATATCATTTATTCTGTAGTATTTCCCAGAGTCTAGATTTTGCTGCTTGCATCACCCCATTTTCATTTCACATGTCCCTCTGTCCCCTGAATTTTCTGTAAATCTGTGTTAGGTTAAACCATGTGAAATTGCTGATGTTCAGCCATATTTGATCTACAAAAACAAGTTTCACATGGATCTCAAAGGCTTAATCAGTTTCAAGTTCAGGTTTGATTTTTTTTTCCAAAGACTGCTTCCTAGGTAATGTCAGAAGGCACATCATGCTGGTTGTCTCTCTGTGATGTTATAACCATAGCACAGTGCCTAGAACAGCACCAGCTCACAGAAATGCAAGCTACGTGTGTGATTTTAAATTTTCTAATAGCTACATTAAGAAAGGGAAAGAGAGCCCTGGCCGGCATTGCTCAGCAGTTAGAGCATCCTCCTGCAGACCAAAGGGTTGTGGGTTCGAGTCCTGGTCAAGGACATGTACCTGGGTTGCAGGTCCCATCCCCAGCCCCCATCAAGGGTGTGTGGGAGGCAACCAATCTATGTGTCTCTCTCACATCAATGTTTCTCTCCCCCTCCCTCCCTCCCTCCTTCCCACTCTCTTGAAAAGCAATGGAAAAAATATCCTCGGGTGAGGAGTAACCAAAAAAAAAAAAAGGAAAGAGAAACAAATGAAATTTTAATATTTTTAACCTAATATATCTAAAGTGTTATGGTTTCACATGGTTTAACAAGAAAAACTTGTTAAATATTACACCTCCTTTTTTCCACACTTAATCTATGAAATCTAGTATGTATTTTATATTTATAGCACCTCACAATCTGAGGGCTAAATTTTCATCAAAAGTACTTGACCTGTCTTTAGATTTCATAAAATGTAGTTGAAAAAGCAGATTCACACACCCACATTGTTCTAAACATGCTTAACTGTTTCTAACGACCAAATTTGCATATTTGTCTTTAAAAGTGAACTTAATTACCGTTAAATAAAGGCAAAACTCTCCTGTTCCTCGGTTGCACAAGCCACATTTCAAGTGCTGTATTGCTACATGTGACCAATGGCCACCAGAGTGGGTACTCAGGCCTAGGTCCTTAGTCGGCGAGGGCAGTGGCTCTCAAGCCTGAGCGTGTATCAAGGGTACCTGGAGGGCTTGTTCCACCACAGTTAGATCTCTGCATCTCACCCCCAAAGCTGCAAGTTCAGGGAGGGCCAGGGGATGTACATTTCTAGGATGTTTCCACTCAGTGTTGATGCTACTAGTCTGGGAACCACACTTGGAGAACCTCTGTGTTATGGAATGCAAAATGGTGGCATTCATACTAGACTTCCAGAGGGAACCTCCCTCCTGAAAAGGGAACTGCCCAGGTGACCCATGGAGCTGTTTGCTTAGGGAAGTCTCTGTTTTGCAGGCTTCGAGCATAAGATCACAGTCCAGGCCTCTCCAACCCTGGACAAGCGGAAAGGATCCGATGGGGCCAGCCCCCCTGCAAGCCCCAGCATCATCCCTCGGCTGAGGGCCATTCGCTGTGAGTATCTCCCAAGGCCCTGACTGGTCCGTCAGTCAGCAGACTTCTCTGAGCATATACCTTGCACCAAGCAGAGGATCAGCAGGGAACAAGACAGGCAGGGTCCCTTCCGTCATTCTCATCAGGGAGAAACAGACAATGAACAGGTCCATAAGCAGACAGGATAATTTCTTGTAGGAAAGGGAATAAAAGAGAAGAGTTGCCGTTTATATCAGGAAGGCCTGTTTGAGGTGCTGGGTGGGGTTTGAGCAGGAACCTACGTGGTAAGGAGCGAGAGACATGCAGAGATCTGAAAGAAGAGTGTCCCTACAGGGAACAGAAAGGGCAAGGCCTGGAGCTAGTGTGTATGTCAGCCCAAAAGGCCAACCTGGCTGGAGTAGAACGAATGGGATGCAGAGCAGTAGGCTTGTGGTCAGGGGTTCAACAGGGGCCAGGTCACACTGGGCCTTGAGAGCTGGATGAGGAACCTGGGTTTTATTTTAAAGGTGACAGCCCTGGAGGGCTGTGAGCAAGGCAGCGATGTGTTAAAATATACCTTTCCCTCTGGCTGCTGTGGGAGCATGGATGGTAGGAGGGCAGGAGTAAGGGCAGGAGACAAGTGAGATGATGGGGGCTGGGCCAGGGTAGGGCCTTGGAGTGGGGGGCGAGATGGCCACAATAGGGGGTGCCTGGCAGAAGTGTAGCTGCTGGGGTTTGCTGACAAGTTGAAGGATACTGGGCTGACTCACGAGTCTGTTCTGCCCCATCCTTCACCCCCAGCTTTGCCCCACAAGCTGGCCCCTGCACACGTCTGTTTGGGCACCAGCTTTGTACCAGGCTCAGAGTGCATTCTCACCGGGGACACAAAGACAAATAATGGCCATGCAGTGGAGTCAATACTGGTGTCAGGGTGCGTTCAAAGTGTAGGAGGAACAGAGAAGACAGAGCAACTGACTCTCCAGGGAACAAACTACTCCAGGGCTGGAGGGTTGAAAGGCAAGAAGCCAACCAGGTCAGGAAAGGGACTGAAAAGGCACAGAATTCCAGGCAAAAGGAATAGCCTGTGCAAAGGCATGGTGGTGTGAAAGCATCCACCTGGGAACCTGCAGACGTAGGGACCCAACTGTGGCACTTACGCCCTCTGCCAGCATATCCCCGACTCTAGCTCTCCTCCCTTTCTCCCTCCCTCCCCACCAGCCATACTCTATGCTGTCCAGTCTCAGGGCCTTGGCATTTGCTGTTCCCTCTGCCTGAAATGTTCCTTCCCTTGTATCTTCTTGACTCACTCCCTCACCACCTCATCTTTGCCCAGATTTCTCTTCCCGCATGAAGCCTTCCCTGACCCCAGGCCCCTTTTCTGCCTCTTTCCTGCAGCACTTACACCCATGCAGAGGACTTGCCTGTGCGTCTTGTTGATCATATGCCTTCACCCACTGAAATGGCGACTCCGAGGGCTGGGGGTTTTGTCTGCTTTACCCACTGCTGCCTTTCCAGCACCAGCCACAGGGCTTGGCACAGAGCAGGCACTCAGTAAACATTGGAGAATGAGTGGATGGTTGAAGGAGTGACGACAGTGAGGCTGAGGAAGTCAGCTGGGGATAACATGAAAGGCCTCGAATGCTGGCTGAGGAGCCGGGCTGTCCTGCAGCAGTGGAGAGCTATGGAAGGATTTAGAGCAAAGAAGGGTCATGATTGGAGTTAGAGTCCAAGATCCCTTGGGCTTCCAGGTGAAGGATGAGTCCGAGATGGGGAAAGTGAAGCTGGGAGCCCAGTGGAGACAGACTTTCTAAGACCCAATAACCAAATGGCTTCTCTCGGCTCAGTGACACCTGTGGATGGTGGAGGCGGCAGCAGCAGTGGTGGCAGTGGCAGTGGAACGTGGGGCCGCAGTGGGCTCCCAAAGAAGGAAGAACTGGTTGGGGGCAAGAAGAAAGGCCGGACCTGGGGGCCCAGCTCCACCCTCCAGAAGGAGCGGGCTGAAGAAGAGAGGTATCGGTGGCTGGAGCCCACCCCGTGCCCCGCCCCAGGCCCATGGCTGCCAGAAGGCCCACCACCCTCCCCCATCTCTGGTTCCCCTGCAGGCTGAAGGCCCTAGGGGAAGGAAGCAAACAGTGGTCCTCAAGCGCCCCTAACCTGGGCAAGTCCCCCAAACACACCCCCATTGCCCCAGGCTTCGCCAGCCTCAATGAGATGGGTAAGAGGATGTGGGTGCCTTCAAAAGGGAAGGGAGATGACATTCGACATTCGCTGGCTGAAGGGGAACCTAACCCAAGACCAAGGGGTTACCATTCCCCAGGGTTTCCCGGGAGGGAGAGGATTTCACTGGGCCAGAGGGTAGAAAGCATCCCCAGAAAGGGGGACAGCCAGTTCCTGTGGTGTGGGCTGGGGGCTTTAAGGGGAGACAGATTCAAAAGCCATGCTTAGTGGATTTGGTGGTCTTGCTGTTGGAGGGGTCATTGGGGGCAGTCCCTTGCCTCCAAGTCCCCAGGGACCGCCCGGAGTCGAGTGCCGGCCCTCTCCGGTTGCAGAGGAGTTCGCGGAGGCAGACGAAGGCAGCAACGGGCCCCACTCCCCCCACAGCACCCTGGCCTACCTCGAGGTGCCGCTCCCCACTGAGCCCTCCCCTGGGGTGCTGGTGACACCGGCCCGGCCCGGGCCCGGCGCCCGGCGGCGGCGCTGCGAATTTGCGCTGCT